GCACAAGACCTTTTTAAAGTGTTGAAGAGCAAAGATGTCATCAGGTTGAGGACTAAGGTGTGCCTGACCCAACCCATGGTATTTTGAATAACCTCATATGCATGCGAAAGCTGGGCAGTGAATAAGGAAGATAGTAGAGGAATTAATGCCTTTAAGTTATGGTGTTGAAGGAGAATACTGAAAGTGCCATGGACTGCCAAAAGAACCAATAGATCCGTTTTGGAAGAAGTACAGCCAGAGTGTTCCTTAGAGGCCAAGATGGCCAAACTTCGTCTCTCATGCTTTGGACATATTGTCAGGAGGGACCAGTTACTGTAGAAGGATATCATGTTTGGTAGGGTGGAGGGTCAGAGAAAAAGAGGAAGACCCCTAACGAGATGGATTGGCCAAGTGGCAGCATTGATGGACTCAAGTGTGGCAACAGTAGTGAGGTTGGTCCAGGTTGATCCATCTCACAGTAGGTCCAGGTCTCATGGACAGCTGGTGCAGAGCTCTCACCCCTCATCATGGGCTCCTTGTCCTGTACCGCACCTAGAGCAGAAGAGAAAATCCTCTCCAGGTGAAATCTAGGATGACTTCACAGAGGAGGAGTTCCTTACTTTGGACCTTGTGGATTGTGATGAGAAGAATGGAGCTCGGGATAAATGGAGAGTGGAAAATATCGGAAAGGAAGATTCAGCAACTGTTTAGGTGGCGACTTCTTGGTCTCCTCAAGAGTGTACTGAAGGAAGACAGCCACAGCCTCCCACATCTCTCTGGAGCACCAATTTTACTTGAAGAGCTTAAGAGGAGAGATTACCTTTCAAAAAACAGTTCATACTTGTTGCACCACTTACCACCTGCAGAGCACTGTTTCAGGTGCTTTATTCACTCATTTTATCCTCCCAACATCTCCCTCCTAATCTACCTCCTTGTTGTCGTTAAGTGCCATTGAGTCAGTGCTAACTCATTGTGACCCTGTATAGAAAGCGACAACAATAGGGTTTCTAAGGAGTGGCTGGTGAGTTTCAACCACCAAGCTTGTAGTTCAAACCAACCTTGCGGTCCAGTGCAGTGTGACACCTGAATACCTTGTTAGATGCTGTTGAATTGGTTTTGACTCATAGCAACACTATATACAACAGAATGTAATATTGCCCCATCCGACGCCATCCTCTCAAGCTATGTTTGCGACCACTTTGACAATCTATCTTGTTAAGGGTTTTCCTTATTTTTGCTGCCTTTACCAAGAATGATGTTCTTCTCCAGAGACTGAACCTTCCTGATAACATGTCTAAAGCATGTGAGACAAAGTTTCACCTCCTTGTTTCTAAGGAGTGTTCTGACTATACTTCTTCCAAGACAAGATTTACTCATTCTTCTGGCAACCCATGGCATATTTAATATTCTACACCAACACCATCATTCAAATCTGTCAATTTTTTGTGTTTCTTATTCATTGTCCAGTTATACAAGGCAATTGAAAATGCATTGCTTGGATCCAGTGCTGATTTGCCAAATGGAATATGTCATTTGGGTTCTTGATTGTTGCTTTCATGGGTATGGATTGTGAATCCAAGTAAAATAAAATCCTTGACAACATCCATTTATAATGATGTTGCTTATTGGTCCAGTTGTAAGGACTTTTATTTTCTTTATGATGAAGTGTAATCCATACTGAAGGCTGTCATCCTTGATCTTCATCATTAAGTGCTTCAAGTCCTTTTAACTTTGAACAAGCAAAGTTGTGTCATCTGCATATCGTAGGTAGTTAGGGAGTCTTCCTCCAATCTTGATGTGACATTCTTCTTCATATAGTTTGGCTTCACAGATTATTTACTTAGCATATAGACTGAATAAATATAGTGAAAGGATACAACCCTGACCCACAACTTTCCTGATTTTCAACCACATGAAATCTCCCCTTTCTGTTCAACTTTAGTCTCTATACAGTTTCCATATGATCACAATTAAGTGTTCTGGAAGTTCCATTCTTCCCAATGCTATCTATAATTTGTTGTGATCTACACAGTTGAATGCATAGTCAGTAAAACACAGGGAAACTTTTTTCTAGAATGTTCTGCTTCAGTGATATCCCTCATTTCACATCCTCTTCTGTATTTGGCTTGAATTTCTGGTAGTTCCTTCTAGATGCACTGCTGCGACTACTTTTAAATTGTCTTCAGCAAAAGTTTACTTGGCCCTGCCAAAACTAAGACTCAATGGGAATACACGCTGTGATTGGTGACCATGTTTGTCACCGATAAGGGGAAGTGAGGGAAAAACAGCAATGAAGCTGCAAGATAAGCCATACATACAACATTCAATAGACTCCTGTGAACCCTGGTGGAGACCTGGTTGGCCAGCAGTGTGGCAAGACCCGGGGACTCTTGGGCCCAGAGTCAGTGACATAGCCACAGAGGACTAGAGCGGAGAGTGAAGCATCCAGCTGATAAAAAGAGAGGGCATATGCACAAGAATACCCACACTTGCAAATAATACCCACTTGAACTGGCTTCAATGACTGGATGATCAGAGCTCAACTAGAAGAAGAAAGAAGAGGGGAAAAAATGAGTCATCTGATACAATTTGATGAACTTGACCTACACCTATGGATGCAGTAGCTCAAAAGAGGGAATAAATCTTTACAGCAAGGATCATTCCCACTCCCTCCATACACAGACTAGACAGGGATGGGCAACTTGGACACTGGCCACCCAAAATGGGGGGTTTCAAAGGCAAGAAGTGACTTACAAGCTTTCAAGAGGGAACCTAGATCCAGAGGGCGTGAAGGAAGGTAGAATCTCCACTGAGTAGTATCCAGTCTCTCTAGGCGGGGCTGATGAAAGGAAATGCGGATAGGTCTCTAGTGATACAATAGTGAATAATTGTTATCAGGACTGATCGTGAGGGTTGGAAATGTAAAGGTAGATGTTTTGTAGCAAGGAGGGGAGTGATTAGCTTTGCAGTCTAGGCGCGGAGGTCCCTGGGACCATCAAGGGAGAAGAGTGGAGAGCAGGACCCTACCCAGAGAAGCAGTGATGCCTGAGATGGTGGCAGAGACGATGACATGGAGAGATGAAGCGGCTGGGAGTTTGACCCAGAGAGGGAGAGGGGCTGTGTGCTGATGACCAGAGGGCAAGCTTGCAGGGTATACCCTTTGGTTGGTTGATGATGCATGGAGGGGATTGTAACCATGGCAATGAAACAGATATACAATAGGATGAATGTAAAACGAATGTTCTCCCATGTAAACTATCACAGAATTCACAATAAAACATTATTTAAAAAAGTTTACTTGGTATTTTGATAACAATATTGTTCAATAATTTCCACAATCTGTTGAATCACCATTCTTTGGAGTGGACACAGATGTGGATTTCTTCCAGTTGGTTAGCTAGGTAGCTGTCCTCCAAATTTCTTAGCATAACTGCATGAGCACTTCCAGCATTGCATTCGTTTGTTGAAACATTTCAATTTCTCAATTCCTGGAGCCTTGATTTTGCCATTGCTTTTAGTGCAGTTTGGACTTCTTTCTTCAATAGCATTGATACTTGATCATAATGCTACCTCCTGAAATGGCTGAATGTCGATCAGTTCTTCTTGGTACAGTGACTCTGTGTATTCCTTTCATCTTCTTTCAGTGCCTCCTGCATTGTTCAGTATTTTTCCATATTGCTGTTAATTGGTATCAAACCCATTCCAACTTACAGTGACCCTGTATGTATTTCTGAGTAGCAGCTTGTGGGTTTGAACTGCTGACATTGCAGTTAGCAGTCCAGTATTTATCCTACCTCATTACACCAGGACTCAATATTTTTTCCCTCATAGAATCCTTCAAATAAAGACTTGCATTTTTCCTTTTTAGCTTGATAAATGTCGAGCAGATTCTTCCCTTTTGGTTTTCTATCTATAGGTTTTTGCATATTTCATTATAATACGTACTTTGCCTTTTCAGGCAGCCCTCTGAAATCTTCCTTTCAGCTCTTTTACTTCATCATTTCTTCCTTTTGCTTTAGCTATTCTATGTGTAAGAGCAAGTTTCAATGTCTTTTCTGACATCCATGTTGGTCATGTCTTTCTTTCCTGTGTTTTTAATGATCTCTTGTTTTCTTCATGTATGATGTCCTTGATGTCATCCCACTGCTCTTCTATCTTTGATCATTAGTAGTTAATGCATCAAGTCTATTCTTAAGATGCTCTCTAAATTTAGGTGAGATCTACTCAAGGTCCTATTTTGGTCCCTCATGGACTTGTTTTCATTTTCGTCAGCTCAATTTGAACTTCCATATGAGCAGTTGATAATCTCCTCCACAGTCTGTTCTGATTGATGGTACTGGGCTTCTCCATTGTCTCTTTCCATAGCTGTAGTTGATTAGATTCCTGTGTATTCCTTTGGGTGAGAGCCACATGCTTATATTGTTGAAAAAAGGCTTCAGATGAATAGGTCATTGGTCTTGCAAAGTTCATTCATGTGATCCCCAGTGTCTGTTTCTATCACCAAGGCCATATTTTCCAACTACTGGCCCTTCTTCTTTGATTCCTACTTTTGCATTCCAACCACCAGTAATTATCAATGCAACTTGATCGCATGTTTGAGCAATACCAGACTTAAGAAACTGGGAAATCTTTAATTTCTTCATCTTTGGCACTTGTGATTAGTAGGTAAGTTTGAATTGAATAGTAGTCATAGTACCTTATTTTTCTTGTAGGTATATGGGCATTATCCTATTACTGAATATTTTGCCCATAGAGTCCTTCAATATTACAAGTTAAGACTTGAATTTTTTTTCCTTAAGTTCTTTCAGCTTGAGAAATGCTGAACGTGTTCTTCCCTTTTGGTTTTCTAACTCTAGATCTTTGCACATTTCACTAAATACTTGACTTTATCTATTGAGCTGTCCTTTGAAATTTTCTAATATATACCCTGGGGCAAAGATCTTGAAATGTTCTTTTTGGCAATGCTTTCGTCTTTAATTTGTCATTCCTGCTATAGTAGATCATGTGTTTCTTTCTTTGATTTAAGATGGTCATTACCAGTCCATATCAGCTCACTAATGCCTAAAATGTCAGTTTTTATGTGTTCTATTTCATTTTTTATGTTGCCAGCTTTCCTAGATTCATTCTTCATACATTCTACATTCTGATTACTAATAGCTGTTTCTTCTTATTTTGAGTTGTGTCACACCAGCAAATGAAGATCCTGAAAGCTTGATTTTATCCATGTCATTAAGGTCAATTGTACTTTGAAGATGCAGCTCCTCCCTAGTTGCATTTGAGTGCCTTTCAACCTGAGGGGCTCATCTTCCAACTCTACATCAGAAAATGTTCTACTGTCATACATAAGATTTTCACTGTCCATTGTTTTAGAAGTAGTTCACTAGCTCTTTCTTCTAGTCTGTTTAACTGTGTAAGCTGTACTGAAATCTGGGTGCCCTGATGGTATTTGAAATACCAGTGACATATAGCTTTCAGCATCACAGCAACACGCAGCCCACCACAGCGTGACAAACTGACAAGCGAGTGGTGATTTTAGGAGGCAGATGCTTTTTATTTTCCTACTTTATAGATGAGGGAACTGAGATTCACAGATAGTCTGTAATTTGCCCCAGGGTATATATTAGAAAATTTCAAAGGACAGCTCCAGAAGATAAAGTCAAGTATTTAGTGAAGTGTGCGAAGATCTAGAGTTAGACAACCAAAAGGGAAGAACACGTTCAGTGTTTCTCAAGCTGAAAGAACTGAAGAAAAAAAAATTCAAGTCTTAACTTGTAATATTGAAGGATTCTATGGACAAAATATTGAGTGATGCAAAAAGCATCAAAATAAGATAGAATACACAGAGTCACTGTACCAGAAAGAAATGGTTGATGTTCAACCATTTCAAGAGGTAGCACATGATCAAGAGCCAATGATAGTGAAGGAAGATGTCCAAGGTGCACTGAAGGCATTGGCAAAGAACAAGGGTCTGAGAATTGATGGACTACAAATTGAAATCTTTCAACAAACCGATGCAGAACTGAAGGCACTCACTCATTTATACCAAGAAGACAGCTACCTGGCCAACTGATTGAAAACAAAATGGAAAACTTTGCACCTTCAATGTCTAGCTGTAAACCCCTCCTGAAAGGGTGACTTTTTAATTCGTACACAGGACTCCTGGTGTGGCACTGTAGGATCAATCCTGGATTGTGAACCACAAGGTCGATGGTTCAAACTGACCAGCTGCTCTTAAGAAACCCTGTCCAGGGTCCTATGAGTCAGAACCAACTCGACAGCGCCTAACAACAATAACAGCAACAACAGGAGTCCCAGTTAATAGCACTGGTTATTAACCAGAAGGTTGGCTGTTTAAACCCACCCAAAACCTCAGAAGTACGGCTTGGAAACATATGGAACAGTTCTACTCTGCACACATGGGGTTGCCGTGAATCAATATCGACTCAAACAGCCACTGAAAACATCTCTGTTAATAGTGTGTGAGCAAAGAAACAGCCAGAAGGCAGAAGTAGCTGGACTGAGGGGACAAGGCAGGCAAGGAGAAGCAGGGCCTAGTCAATCTGCAGGATGAGTCACTGAGAGACTAGACGTGTGTCTGAATGTTGACTGTTGCCCTTTACTCACACACACACACAAACACACACACACACACACACACACACGCCCCTTGATGTGCTGACCGTAACCATGTGACTTTTTGCAGACCCTGATGTAGTATCTCTGGAGGCAGCTGACAGACCCAACTTCTTCCTCCAAGTCACAGCCAATGGATCGTTGGAGTTGACTAAATGGCAGAGCAGTGATGTCTTCTACCACCGTGCCACTTTCTCGCTGCACCGGGAGACATGGCAGGCAGGCCTAGTGGCCCTGGAGTCCCTAGCAGAGCCTGGTTCCTTCCTTTATGTGTCGGGCCCCACACTGGTCCTGAGGTTGTATGAGCACACAGCGGCATTCCGCCAGAGCATTCTCTTCCGCCTTCTGGGTAAGTATCTACCCTACTGTCACCTTGGGTCCCTCTGTCCTCTTCAATCAACCTCTCTCCCCACCTTCTCTCCATCCCAGCCCTCCAGTTTTCCCCCCAAAGAGCATCCTCACTGCTCCAAGGGGGAGACCACATGGTACCACCCTTGAGATAGATGTGACTTCCATGTTGGTGGCCTGGCGCACCTTGGACAGTGTGGCCTGGAGCCCAGTCAGCTCCTGGAGGCCTATTCCTGGACCCTGCCTCCTGCCAGAAGCCAATCATATGGTCTAAATAGCATGGCCTTTGTGGGAGTGCAGGCCTGGCCACAGCTTGCGTAGTCAGAGACTCAGGTTTCTTGTTGATGGGAACACATACCTGCCCCATGAGCTCTAAGACAACCCACTGGGGCTCCGGGCTGCTGAGGAGCCCACAGGCCCCCCTCTCCCCGGGCATAGATGGGACAGCTTCTTGACTTTCAGCCAATGTCAAGGGGCTCCAAGGCTTTATCATCCCCTAGCAGGTGGGTCTGCCCCCAAAGTATTTTTTCTTCTGGTCTGCTGAGGAATCCATCATCATCTCCTCATCTCTTCAGCCTGACTCTTTGTCCTGCGTGTACACATATGTCTATATGTCTGCATAGGGGTACCTTGCATTGTATAAAATGGCCCATTTACATGTCCACGTATGGGACTCCAGCCAGCCTCTTCATTTTATCAGGATCCTGACCAAATCTATAGGGCTGGGCAAGGTCACCCTTACATTCAGTGATCATCTGTTTACTGAACCCCAACCAGGGCTTCTCTGTCACTGACTGCAAGTACAAGCCTTGCCTCGATAGGAATACTTGTGTTCCTCTCTGGAAGACACTGGGCAGAGTGGTATGATCGCAGGTTTTGAAGCCAGATGGCCTCCGATTTGAATTCTGACAGCAGCCATTGCCACTTGGGGGGTGGGGGCACATTTTCTTGATTCTGTTTTCTTACCTGTGAAATGGATACATGTGTCTAATAAGTTTGTTGTGAGGACTGACTGTACCTCAGGGACAATCCTCAGGGCCTGACACATTGTAGGTGCTCCCCAAATGTAGATTCTTGGTTCTGACTTTAAGGATCTTGGGGAAATGGGCTTCTTACAGAAGCATTGTGACAGTGGGTGGTGGTGGTGGTGGTCGTGTGCTGTCGAGTCGGTTCCAACTCATAGTGACACTTTATAGGGTTTCCAAAGCTGTAAATCATTATGGGAGCAGAAAGCCTCTCCCCCATGGAGCCACTGGTAGATTTGAACTGCTGACCTTACAGTTAGCAGCCCAATGTACAACTAGCAGTTCCTCAGAAACCCAGAACAGGGTTACTAAGAGAACAGACTTGATAGCACTTAACAACAACAACACTAAGGGCAACAAGGGCAGTGGTCAGACAAACTTCACTCTCCAAGTCTAAGACCAGTTTACAAGGAGGCTACTTCAGCGAGGCCCTCTGAGAAGAGACAGAACAGAGCAGCTCCATTCCCTGTCTGGTGCTAGATGGCCAGCAGAGTCTTGGCCTGAAGGAAAAAGAGACCTCCTCCCCAATGCCCAGACCATGGAGGGCTGCAGTGGCCTTGCTGGGGTGGGGCAAAGAGTCCTGCGATGCAGTTTGAGCCTAGACACTAAGGTCCCAGAGGGACATCCTTAGGGACAGATGAAAGTTAAAGCTTCCTGTGGTCACCCCCAAGGCCTAGCTCCAACTGTCCCTTCCTTATTGCCCCCCAGTCTTTAGTCTGCACACCAAGTCCCCCTTGGCCTTCTCTACAAGGCACTGACCCCGACTGTCACCAATACAGTTCCCTTGGGGCTGACTTTTTGTTTGTTTTCACTATTCCTGGATGAGAGAGCACAGGGCGAGCTGGGGTCACTTCTGTCCTCTGACATCTGGCCTAGAGCTGGTACCTGGTCTTAGACTAGGGACACTGGGATGGTTTGCTTTCTAGATGCCAAGCCCTCAGGAGCTGCCTATCCCATCTGTGAGTGGCACTACGATGCCTGTACCACACCGTGTTTCCAAACCTGCCGGGATCCGCAGGCAACCAGTTGTCAGGACGTACCCAGGTAAGGTGGCAGGAGTAGGGAGGGGCTGCAGGCACAGAGTCAAGGTGTGTGCCTGTGTGCATGCCTGTATGAATGGGCTTGTATGTAGTCCATGGACATACATGAAAGTGCACTAATGTTTATGTATGCAGGTGGTACCTGGGTTACAAATGTCTGATGTATATACATACAGCTCATTTGGAAACAACCCCTGCAAACCTCATATATGAAACACACGCGGTAGACACTAAGGAACATCACTTAGTGACTCACATCAAAAGCATTAGTATTGTTGTTGCTGTTAGTGACCCTATATAGACTTTCCAAGGAGCAGCTTGGAACTGCCAACCTTGTGGTTGGCAGTCCAGTGCTGATCCTACAGTGGCACACAGAGTCCATATATATGTGGACTCCAGCTGTGGTACTGCAGGATAATGCACTGGACCACAAGGTTGGTTTAAATTGCAAAGTTGGAGGTTCACATCCACCAGCGGCTCCTTAGAAACTCTATACAGGGTCCCTATGAGTCATAACTGACTCAACTGAGTCCTAGTGTGGTATTATAGTATAAACACTGGAATGTAAGGCAAGTTTGAACTGCACGTTGCTGTTGTTGCGTGCTGTCAAGTCAATTATGACTCAGCAAATCCTGTATAGGGTTTCCAAGGAGCAGTTGGTTGGTTTGAACTGCCAACCTTGAGGTTAACAGTTCAGTGTTTATCCTACAGTGCCACACCAGAACACCATGTGTCTGTGGGCTAATGCACTGGACTGAAAAGTCAGTTTGAACTGCAAGGTCGGTGGCTCGAGCTCACCAGGCACTCCTTGGAAACACCACACAGGGTTACGATGCATTGGAATCAACTCAACAGCACTTAACAACAACAACAACACACACACACACACACATATATATGTTATTATTAAGTGTCGTCTAGTTGGTTCTGATGCATAGAGGATTTCCAAGGCACTAAATCTTTGCAGGAGCAGAAAGCAGCTGGTGGGCTTGAACTGCAGACCTTGTGGTTTGCAGTCCAGTACTGATCTTATGGAGCCTCCACGTGCCCATGTACTTCTCATGTACTTGTGTATACAGGCGCACACTACCTGAATGTGTATGCTGCACAGGAATTCTTACCAACAGAAAACATTCAGGAGCAAGGTTCGGCTATGCACACACTCATACGCAGACTCATGGTCTCCTGGGTGTCCCCACAGAGGGATTCAAAATATCCAGATAAGAACAGATGACCCACTCCATGTCCCAGACCACTGACCTGCTCCCTGTTTTATTCTCAGGGTAGAAGGCTGTGTCCCTGTGTGCCTCCCCCCCAAGGTTTTGGATGAAGTCACCCAGAGATGCGTGTACTTGGAGGACTGTAGGTCACCTGGCTTTCTCTTCCTTACCTCAGTTCCCTGTAACTCTCCAGGCCTCACTGACAGGCACTGTCCAGAGCTCGCAGAACCATAGACAAGTAGGGTCAGCATTGGAATCCTCCAGAAAGAGAACTACTTAGAGCAGGCAGTGACCTACCTGGCTCATTAACCCATTTCACTGAGAGAAAAAAGATCCCAGACAAGAACATGAGGCGGCCAGACTTAGGGCTGAATCTCAGGGTCCGAAATTTAGGAAAAGTCCTACTGGATTATCTGAAATCATCAAATGCCATGTGGCAAAGGGCCTTGGGTTGATCAGGCAGCTTGGCTGACTAGCAGAGCCTGGCCCCCATCTCACCCAGTTCATGAGCCCCTCATCACAGCCTGCCAGTGATGACCCCCTGGAGCGACATCCTTCACCTGTCTAAGCTTCTTCTGTTGTTTTCCCCAGGTGTAGAGCCCACAGTTTGGGTTCCCACAGAAGCCCTTGGCAATGAGACCCAGCCTTCTAGACAAGAACTGACCACCCCCAGTGTCCAGACGCTGCCCCTTCCGCAGGAAACTCCAGGGGGTCCCAGCCACAGGCCAGCCCACCCCACAGGTGTCCCACTCACTACAACCCTGAGCCCACCAACAGCAGCCAGTGAGAGGCCAATGCTGTCTCCAGGCTCCACCCTGTCCACCCCGCAGCAACCACTGGGCCTCACTGCAGCATCTAACCTCCCCACCCGCCCGACAGAGCCCCCAGCCAGTGAGGAAGTGACTGCTAGCCACCTGGCCACCCTCCACACCCCAGAGCCTTCATCCCTCCACCTTTTACCACAGAAACCCACACTTGGTACGGGGTCTGGTGCCATGGAGACCACCAGGGTGACTGTGACTCTCACAGGGAGCCTCAACATCACAGTCTCTTCTCAGTCACCCCCTGTACCTCGTTTCCCACTCTTGACCAGAGCTGTGACTGTCCCAAGCCATGGCTCCTTGCCTGTGAGAACAACACCCCTCCAGCCCTTCCCGAGCCTGGAACTGCCAGCAAGTCCCTCTTCTAGGCCCGTGGCTTCCTCTGGAGTGACCTCCAGGCCCCCTACCTCCTCAGCAGGACCCCACAAAACCTTGCTGACATCTGCTATCACTAAGGTCACAAACAGGACTGGGATCCCCCCATCCATCATGGCCCAGAGCATAGAAAGTCACATCAGAAGCCCACCCATGACTACCCCACCAGCACAGCAAGTTCCTTTCAGTCCTGACACTACCAGGAGAGTGGAGGTGGTGCCCTCTACAGAGAAGGTGGAACCAGGACATAGCCAGCATGTGGGCCTGCCACAGCCAAGTCCATTCCCCACTCCCCTGCCCCACCCAGCCCAGCATACCACCATGGCCTCCAGGTCTCCACCTCTGCCCCCTGGGATCCCAGCTGCTGCCAGTCTGCCCACAGTTGCTCATGGGCTAGGTGCCACACCCTTCATGCCTCTGGATTCAACTCAGCCATCCCAGCTCCTTTCTGGACTGCCTCCTGACACCAGCCTGCCCCTGGCCAAAGTGGGCACATCAGCCCCAGTGGCCATGCCCGGCCTCAAAGGCTCTGTTACTAGCTCTCTTCCCCAGCAGCAAGCCACATCTCCAGCCATGGCCACAACACTGCCTGCCAGGACACTTGGCCCAGCCCTGCCTCTTAGCCCGGCTGGCCTGGATCAGGTGCACCCACCCAGTCCCACAGCCCCCCAGACGACAGGCACAGCTCCAGGCCTGCTTCTGGGAGCCACACTGCCAGCTTCTGGAGATGTGACCATGGCTGAGGGAGCAGCCCCCACAGTCTCTGTCCCCCCAGGAAAGAGCACAACAGAGATGATGGCCATCCTATCCAAACAAGTGTCTCTGCTCACCTCGACATATAGCTCTGCCCTGCGTGGACCCACAGAGCTCACGCCTGCTGTGGCCCACACTCCTGCTGCCTTGGTGACTGAGGTTAAGGGTCCCCGGGCCAGCACAGTGCCACCAGCGCCCACATCCCATCCTCCAAGCCGAATCTCAGCCAGGACCGCCTCCAGGGAGAGCTCGCTGGTTGTGCTCCCTCAGCTGACAGATGCCCATGGTACCTCTGCAGGACCTCAGCCCCCAGCCAAGCCAGTGGGTGAGGCCACCACCCAACAGTCTGGCCGCTCAGCCCCAGCCCTGAGCATCCCTGAGGGTCTGGCTGAGAGCTGGACAACCGACATTGAGGTGAACACATCTGACACCTGTGTGGTGAGTGATTTGCTCTTGTCGCCTGTGTGTGGTGTGTTATTGTATGTGGGACGTATACTGTTGTGAGGGAGTATATAGGTCTACTTTTGTGCGCGTGTGTCAGGGTGTGTGTTTTAAGGGGATGGGAGTCCTAGGGGCGCAGTGGGGCAAGCATTGGGCTGTACCTGGGTTTCTTTGAGCATGAGCTGATGAGTGTAATGTCTGTGTCCCCTGAGTTTTCAGCACAAGCCAAGCACACAGGCAGAGGTCTCTGAGTCGCAGTTCTTGGTCTCCAGTTCTCACCCTAAGCCTGGGCCCTATTGGGTGCAGGAGTGAAGGCCCTAACGCCCTAGTAGTCAGACCTTCGTCCTCTTCCCTGCTGGAACCTACACTGGGAGGGATCTTGTGACCTCACAGCTTGAGCTAAGGGTGGAGCCAGTGGCTGTAGCTTCTAGGGTGGGCACTCATGCACTCCCTCCACTCTGTCCCCAGCCAATCGCGGAGCAGGACTGTGTCCGCCACATCTGCCTGGAGGGACAGCTGATTCGAGTGAACCAGTCCCAACACTGTCCCCAGGGCTCCACACCCCCTCGCTGTGGGGTCCTGGGCCTGGCTGTGCGGGTGGGCGGGGACCACTGCTGCCCCCTCTGGGAGTGTGCCTGTGAGTCCCTCTCCTCCCCGTGCTCGGACATTGGGATGATCGCTATCCCTCCTCTTTGTAACTTTGACCACAAAGACCTCTCCCTCGGAACCACTGATCTCAGTTTAACCCCTGGGTTTTCCTACTCTTGTGACCCCTGACCTGAGAGATTCGCCAGACCCCCAGGGTGTCTGCCCAGGGCAGCCTTGACTTCTCTGTGCCCCTACCCCACTCCCCAGGTCGGTGCTCCATCTTCCCTGATCTGAGCTTCGTGACCTTTGATGGGAGCCATGTAGCCTTGTTCAAGGAGGCCATCTACATCCTCAGCCAGCGCCCAGACGAGATGGCCACTGTACACGTCCTGGACTGCAAAAGTGCCAACCTGGTGACTGCCCCTACTCCTTTTCCTGCTGGAGGCCAGGGATTTGACTAGGTTTGGAGGGGATCAGGTTGCGTTTTGAGGGATGCCAGAGGCAAGGACATATGGGAACCATTCCACGGAAGTTTCCTGTGGAGTCTCCTAGAATGGATGTAGCTTCTCAGCTGCATATCTGGTGAGGGCTCTCTGTTGACTGTGGGGATAGGGTTGAGTGGAGTGCTCCACCTTCTGGCCCATTCTGAGGTCTGTGCCACCTCCAGCTTCCTAAGGCAGGCTGGGAAGGCAGTGAAGTGCAGAGGAGCTGGTACACCACTCCAAGGATGTATCCTGTGGACAGTAGAGACCAGCTGCAGGGGATCATCTACTAGAATGCCCCTATGAGCCAGATGGAGGAGGCAGCCTTTTTTTAGCTTGGGCTTGTGTGAGGTCTTGTGGAGCTAGAAATGTTCCAGGAGATTCTGTGCACCATCTGCCCAGGCCTGATGGGTGCCCCTGGCAGAGCAGCGAGGGGACAGTGTGTCCACACTTGCTGCACCTGCTTCACTTGGCAGGGGAAGCAGAGTAGGTCTCCAGGTTGCTGACTGCGGCTCTCTCTACAGGGACACCTGAATTGGCCACCGTTCTGTCTGGTGATGCTGAATGTGACTCACCTGGCACATCAGGTCACCATTGACCGATTCAACCGGAAGGTGGGTGCATGAAAGAAAGAGCCAGCCCTTCAGGGCAGGACAGCAGACAGCTGAGGGGCAGCATGTCCAGGGTGGTGAAGCCTGAGGCAACGGTGGGGAGGAGGCCCCCCCCTTAAAGAAAAATAATACAAAGTTAGACCAGGTGCCATCCAGTTGGTTCTGACTCAATCCTGTGTATCCGAGCAGAATTGTACCCATAAGGTTTTCCATAGTGTCTTAGATATGCAGTGCTGTTAGAACAGAAATACCACAGTTGGGTGTCTTTAACAACATACATTTTTCAGTTTAGGAAGCTAGAAATCTAAATTCAGAGTGACAACTCTGTTGTTGTTAAGTGCTGTCAAGTTGGCATCGACTCATAGCGACTTTGTATAGGGTTTCCAAGGTACCTGGTGGGTTTGAACTGCTAACTTTGTGGTTCGCTGGTCCTACAGCACCACACCAGAAGTCCAAACCAGGACTAGAGGAAAGCCTTTTCTCTCTGTCAGCTTTGAAGGAAGCTCCTTGCCTCTGAGCTTCTACTCCTGGGAGATCTTCATGTCTACTTCTTAGCTTGCTTGTTTGATCTCTTTTATATCTCAAAAGAGATTGAGTTAAGACATACCCTATACTAATCCTGCCTCTTTAACCAAATGATATTATATAATTCTCTTCCCAAATGGGATTATAACCACAGGCATTATTGTTAAGTACCTTCAAGTCCCCCAACGAGATGGATTAGCTAAGTGCAGCATCGATGGACTCAAGCATGGCAACAATACTGAGGGTGGCCCAGGATTGGGCAATGTTTTGTTCTGCTGTGCATAAGGTCGCTATGAGTCAGTACCAACTAGATGGCACCTAACACCAACAACAACCTTCAAGTCCATTCTGACTCATAGTGAGTCCTGGTGTTGCACTGTAGGATGAGCACTCGGCCACAAGGTCAGTTTGAACTGCAAGGTCGGTGGTTTAAACCCACCAGCCGCTTCTCAGAAACCCTATAAAGGGTGGCTATGAGTCAGAACCAACTCTACGGAACTTAAAAACAACAATAAATCTTTGCAGGAGTAGAAAGCCTCATACTTTTCCTGTGGAGCATCTGGTGGGCTCGAACTGCCAATCTTGTGGTTTGCAGTCCAGTGTTTATCATCTAAAAGCACAGGCATAGAGGTTAGAAATTGCAACACATATTTTTTGGGGGACACAATTCAATAAATAATGGGTTTTTCAGAAATCAATCCCAGATCATTCTTCTGAGACACTTCTGGGTGGATTTCAACCTCCAATCTTATGGTTAGCAGCTGAGTGCAGTAAGCATTTATACTACCCAGGGATTCCAATTCAGAATTGTTATCTTTAGGTGACCTTGAGTCAATTTTGACTTATACGAGAGGGTTTTCTAAAAGTTTGCCGGAAATTACCATTATCATTTTTTCTTCCATTTTCCCATACCTTTTTGAAGTCCCCGGTAGAGACCCCATGTGACAAAGTAGAACTGCCCCATAGAGTTTTCTTGGCTATAATCTTTGCAGGAGATCACCAGAACTTTTTCCCACAGAGCTGCTGAGTGGGTTCGAACCACCAACCTTGTGGTTAGCAGCTGAGTACTTAACTGTTGCACCACCAGAGCTCCCTAATATAAAGTTGTTGTGGTTGATGGCACTCACAGCAACCCTGTAATATAAAGTTACAGGAGAAAGGTGAGGTCTCCTGCTCCCATATAAATTTACAGCCTCGGAAACCCTATGCAGATCGCTCTGTGTCAGAAGGGACTCCACGGCACACCACCAACCAACCAATCAGTGATTCTTTCTAGGAAGGTGTAGTCATTATGTTGTTGGTTCGGACTGAGAGTTACCTCATGTGTGCTGAGTGCACCTGTGCTCCATGGAGTTTTCCAGGCAGGGGGAAGCAGATCACCAGGTCTTACTTCTGAGGTGTCTGTAGGTGGGGTTAAACCATCTGCTTTTAGGTCGGTAGACCAGCACTTAGCCATATATGCCACCCAGAGATTTTCTAAAGATCACAGTCTTCTGTCTCCTGGGCTAATGTTGTCTGTTCTCCAGATAAGGGTTCATGTTCTGGATAATTTGCAAAGTGATTAATAAAACACTCTTGATTCTTTGGGGTGGGGTGGGGTGGGATGGGTGTAAAGTCATTATAAATACTTTTAAATCCTAACCTTTTTACCTCATATTTCTTCAGTGTAAAGCTAATCCATTGATACAACCAAATTTAACCTTGTCAATAAATTTTAAATATTTGTGAGAGTTGGGGTTCCCTGCATGTTTAATAAACATTGATTTAGCTCCAATTTATATTAGGCCCAGAGGCAGTATGTGGGATTCAAAGATAAATCAGACATAATTTCTGCCCTTTAGAAACTCACAGTCCACTGGAGACTTCAATGAGGGAACAATAGCTCCTTTTTCAATGGGCAGTACAGGGATGAGGAGACCCCAGAGGAGGGATGCTTGACCCAAAAGTTGGGCATATAAGGAAAATCTCCCAGTCCTGTAGAAAAGCACTGGTCTGCTAACCACAGGTTGGTGGTTCAAACCCACCAGCCACTCATTATGAGTCAGAACCAACTGAATGGCATTTTACAATAACATCTCTCAGAGGAAATGATCTGAGCGGAATCAGGAAACAAGAGAGTGATTAGAAGGGCTCAGGATTTGTGTTTATTTGGCTATTGAGATACAACTTGTCTCCTGCTTACTTTCTTTGTTTCTTTGTTTTATACCTATAAAAATATTCTCCAATACCATTTGGACCATGTCTTGGCTACATATACTTGATATAGAGCTTGACACATAGCAGATGCCTAGTAAATGTTTGTCCAAAGGATGGATGGATGAATGGATGGATGGATGGATAGATGGATGGATGGACAGATGGACAAGCTGTGCTCCCAAACCCTACCTTCCCACAGGTGACTGTGGACTTGCAGCCTGTGTGGCCCCCTGTGAGCAAGTATGGGTTCAGAATTGAGGACACAGGCCACATGTACGTGCTCCGGACGCCCTCACACATCCAGATCCAGTGGCTCCACAGCTCGGGACTCATGATCCTGGAAACCAACAAAGCCAGCCAAGTCCAGGGCCGGGGCCTGTGTGGTGAGGTGGGACCCAGCTGAGGGGAGGGGAAACTTCACAGGTCCATCTCTACCTCCAGACACAGGTTACCCAGAGAAGTCTGGGACAGGATGCCAGGCCAAAGCGCCAGACGAGCAGGCCTGCCAGGGCTGAAAGGCCTAATGTCTTGTGTTGTGGGCTGGAGTTGCCAGCAGGGAGATGGTTCAGGGCTCTAGCCTCAGCCAGTTGTCACCTCAGCCGGGATTGTCTGTCAGCTCCTGACAGCCTCCTAATGCCAGATAATCCTTCCCGTCTGCATGCGCCTGGGCACTTCACAAAGTACTTCTACACCCGGTCTCACAGGTCATCCACACTGTTTAGTCTTGAGAGGTGGGCATTCATGTCCCCTTTGAACTGAAGAAGAATGGGGCTCAGAGAGGTTAAGTGGATTTCCTAATGTAGGACTAGTGCACTTCCGACCGTAGCATGATTGCAGAGAACACATCCTAAGGGACTAGATGTATTTTCTTAGAAAAGGGGTACAGGGGGATTCTGGGCTATAGCCTGCTGTTCCACGCAGGGGTATAGCACCTACTTGTCCACCAGACACGCCAAGACAGACTGGCATGGTTGAGACGATGGTAGACCTAGAAAGCTTACAGCTAGTAATGCAGAGGAAGACATGGATTTGGGGAAACAGCTGCTCCAGCACAAGAATAAGGCTGAGGGGTCCCCAGGATATTTAGGACAGGAGGAGGACAGCTTCTGGTGATAGAAAAGATGCTGGAGATCACATGATACAATTTTGCAAGACCAATGACTTATTCATTGCCAATACCCTTTTTCAACAACATAAAAGGCAACTATGCATGTGGATGGATCTCACCAGATGGAATACACAGGAGTCAAATTGACTACATCTGTGGGAAGAGACAATGGAGAAGCTCAATATCATCAGCCAAAACAGCGCCAGGGATCAAATGTGGAATAGGCCAAATGCAAGTTCAGACTAAAACACGTCCATGAGAAGCAAAATATGTCCTTGAATAAATCCCACCTGAATTTAGAAACCATCTCATGAACAGATTTGATACATTAGACATTAAAGACCAAAGACCAGAACAAGTGTGGGATAACATCAAGAACATCATTCATGAATAAAGCAAAAGATAATTTTAAAAATACAGGAAAAAAAGAAAAGATCAACATGGATGTCAGAAGAGACCCTGAAACTTGCTTGCTCTTAAGCATAGAGAGAGACTCTAAAGCAACTGGAAGTAGAATAGCTGAACAGAAATTTTCAAAGGGTAGCACAAGAGGGCAAAGTCAAGTATTGTAACGAAATGTGCAAAGAACCTGGAGTTAGAATATCAAAAGGGAAGAACACACTCAACATTTCTCAAGCTGAAAGAATGGAATAAAATTTTCAAGCCTCGGGTTGCAATGTTGAAGGATTCATAAGCACAATATTGCATGAAGCAGGAAACATCAAAAGAAGATAGAAGGAATACACAGAGTCACTGTACCAAAAAGAATTGGTTGTTCAATCATTTCAAGAGGTACCATATAGTCAAGAACTGATAGTATTGAAGGAAGAAGTCCAAGCAACAGTGATGGCACTGGGGTAAAACAAGGCTACAGGAACTGAAGGGATGCCAATTGTACTGTTTCAACAAGCTGATGCAGCACTGGAAGCGCTCACTCCTTATGTCAAGACTTTTGAAAAATAGTTACCAGGCCAGTTGATTGGAAGAGTTCCATATTTGTGCCCATTCCAAAGAGAGGTGACCTAACAGTATGCAGAAATCATCAAATACTATCATTCATATCACATGCAAGTAAAATTTTGCTGAGGATAATCCAAAAACGATTGTAGCAATACATCAATAGAGAGCTGACAGAAATTCAAGCTGGATTCAGAAGAGGATGTGGAATGTTGCTGCCATCAGATGGATCTTGGCTGAAAGCAGAGAATCCCAGAAAGGTGTTCATTGGTGCTTTATTGATTATGCAAAGGCATTCCACTGTATAGATCATAACAAACATTGTGAAGAATGTGTATCCCAGAATTAATTGTCCTCGTGAGGAACCTGTACATAGCCCAACAAGCAGTTGTTGGAACAGAACAAAGAGATACTGTGTCTGCATTGTTTTCTTTCGCCATAATGAATCAATCTGTATGCTGAGCAGATAACCTGAGAAACCGGATTTAAAATACAAAAGAACAAACAAATCTGTCTTGGAAGAAGTAAACCCAGAATGCTCCTTAAAAATAAGGATGGTGTGACTTCAGCTCTTATGTCTAATATGTCTTTGGACATATTATCAGGAAGGACCACTCTCTGAAGAAGAACATCATGCTTGAAAAAGCGGAAGGTCAGTAAGAAAGAAGAAAAGTTCCAACAGGATGGATTGACTCAGTAGCAGCAACAAGTAACAACAGACTCAGATAGAACAACTGTAAGGAAGCAGCAAGACCAGGCAGTGTTTGGTTCTGACTGGTTCTCCTTGTAGGTGCATGGATATAATCCTATCACAGTTCTTACCCTCAGAGCGCTAAACTCATTTGTGAAAGATGGACCTCAAGCCAATAACTGTCATACAGAATTGGGAAGGTCATGGATAGATGCATCCGTGATCTGTGTTTCCTTGAAGGAAGGACTTTTAAGAAGGCGTTTCAGGGAGACGGAGCAGCATAAGCAAAGCCTTGTTTGGGCAAGGGAACATGAATGTGGAGCCCAGAGTACGAAGATGGTGAAGTAAGAGATGAAGCCGGAAGGGCGGTCAGGATCATGCTAGTTGCTGCAAACAGATAAATCTCACCCTACTCCCATCTCAATGCTTAACACAATAGTTATTTCTTACTCACATAAACTTCAAAATGACTAGCAATAATTCAGAGATGTAGATTTCTTCCATCTTGAAGCTCTGCCACTTTCAACATGCAGCTTCTAACTCCACAGAAAGGAAAAGAACACGAAGGATCATGCACTGAAAGTTTTTATGGACCAAGCTTGGTAGCAGTGCCTTGTCTCACATTCCCTTGGCTGGTACTCAGTCACATGGTCTCATTCAACTGCAAGTGAGACTAGGAAAAATAGGCTAGCTGAGAGTTCAGGAAGAAGAGGAAACAGGTGACTAGTAATCTGCCCAAGCAGATTTTTTGAGGTAACCTGTAATTTTGATATCAAAATTTTGCCCCATTTGTGCTTCTGTATATATTATATGCTCTGGTAGCGTAGTGGTCACGAATCGGGCTGCGAACCTTAAGGTCAGCGGTTCGAAACTACCAGCCGCTCCACGGGAGAAAGATGAGGCTTTCCACTCCCATAAGGATTTACACCCTCGGAAACCCTGTACAGGGTCGCTATGGGTCGGAACCGACTCGACGGCACTTAACAACAACAACATACACACACAGAGTCCTGGTGGGACACTGTAGGGTAAGCACAAGGTTGGAGGTTCAGACCCTATAGAGGGTCCTATGACTTGAGGACACTTAACTTCAACAGTAACAACAACATACGCGTATATATATCCACACACATACACACTGTGTTTGTGTAGATGTTTATATATGTGCATTTTTTATGAACCATTTAAGAGTAAGTTTGGGATATTTATTCCTAAATTCATTCTCGTGTGTATTTACTAAAAGCAAAGACATTTTCTCATACAGTTGGTTTTCTAGCCTCTCTGCGCTTCATTTTCCTGTAAAATGAAACGGGGGTAATACTAAATCCAAGAATTGTGAGGAACACACAGAGCTCCTCTGATTGTTGTGACTACAGGGACAATCCTGCCCCTTTCAGGTATCTGTGATGGGGACGCGGCTAATGATCTCACCCTGAAGGATGGCTCTGTGATAGGAGCGACCAAGGACCCTGCTCCCTTTCTGGATAGCTGGCAAGTGCCCAGCTCCCTGACCTCCGTGGGCCAGACCCGCTTCCGCCCAGACACCTGCGCCACAGCGGACTGCTCACCTTGCCTGCGCATGGTGTCCAACCGCACCTTCAGCGCATGCCACCGCTTTGTACGTGCCCATTGGGTCCTGCGTGGGAAACCCGCCAGAGCGAAGGGTGGCAGGATTGATTTGCACAGGGCCAGTGGCCAGGGCAGGGAGGCGTTGATCTGGGCGAGCTTGTGGAGGTATCGAACTCAGAACTAGATTGAGAGCCAACACGGACTCCTTGTTCCTTCGGAGCAGGACTGGGAGGAGCTGGGTCTGGGGGAAGCAGGAAGATGGAGGAGGGACAACACTGCCTGATACATGTGTCCAGGTTTCCCCGGAGTCCTTCTGTGAGCTGTGGATCCAGGACACCAAGTACGTGCAGCAGCCCTGCGTGGCTCTGACTGTATACGTGGCCATGTGCCATAAATTCCACGTGTGCATCGAGTGGCGGCGCTCTGACTACTGCCGTGAGTGTGCTGGGGTCGGCAGAAGGGCTCCTCCCTGGTACAGTGGGAAAAGGTGCGCAGACTACAGCTTTGATGTGTGCATTCTTCGTGCATGCATTCATTTATACAAAGGGGCTTCAAAAAGTTCTTGGAAAATGGAATTTAAAAAGAGAAGGAATTTTCCCAAGAACTTTTTGGAGTCATATTAAATTTGGACTCATTAAATTTTATAAAGATTTTATAACTACCATTATAAATCAATCCATATGCTTTATCTTAATTTCGTTAAATTAAATATGATTTATCTGTTATTGAATTATTTGATTTCTCTGAGTTGTTTTGCCTTACCTGTAAAATAGGGCAATAATAATAGTACCCTTATGGGGTTGTTTGGAAGATGATGGCAGACTGTGTGTATACAGTGACTAACACAAACCCATCACCTGGTTACCATTTAGCAATTCATTTCTACTCCTTTCTCTTCTTTTGATCTCTCCCATGGTTGGTTGAGGATGGAAGTGAGGGCCACCTCATTCCCTTCTCTCATTTAGAGAACATTCACAGGGTAGGCTGGGATGGAAGGAGCTTGGATAGTTTGCTTTATAAAAATAGACACATCCAATAAGGCTGGGAACAACACAAAGGAAGACCACGCCTAGAATGCGACAGATAAAAGATGAAAATCAACCAGGGTAGTATTTTTTAAAACGGAATCCTGACTCATTAATGAACCATGAAATCAATGTTTGGGGTCAGTGCCAGCATTTTATTTAAAAATGCATTAGAATAGAGTATACTACTGCTTACTGTGGTCCGGTGTGGAGCTGTGGGATACGAACTGGACTGCTAATCAAAAAAGGCCAGTGGCAAACCCGCCAGTGGTTCCTTGGAAACCCTGTTGCAGGGTCACCAGACGTTGGAACCAACTCTACAGCAATTAACAACAACCACAATAGCGTGTACACATAGAAAGATGAACTATTAGGTGTAAAAAAACTTTGTTTCAATATATTGGTGAGTCTCAACCTTGACTACCATCTGAAATTGCCCCACAACCAAAGACCCTGATCCAATTGGGCTGGTCTGAGGTCTTTTAAAAACTTCCAAGTGATTCTTTTGTGACCATGTTTGAGAATCTCTGTTCTACCTGCATGTCTGTAATTTCTAGTCAAGAAAGTTTAAAAAACACTGATCCAGAGCGGAAGTTGGCAAACTTTTGTGTTTTTTATAGGCCACGTAGTATATATTTGTGATTTTACAAGCCATATGATCTTTGTCACAACTTTTCAACTCTGCCATTGTAGACCCAAAGCAGAAATAGATAATATGTGTAAGTAAATGAGTGTGGCAGTGTGCCAATAAAACTTTATTTGCAAAAATAAACAGTAGTTGAGTTTAGCTCGTGGGATGTACTTTGCTAACTCATGATCCTCAGAAGCCAGGCAATGGTTTCTGTGGATTCTGATGTGAAGCACCAATGATGCCCTGAGCCCCTTCCCACCCAATCCTTCCGCTCTCTTGGTGGGGAACCCTAGCTGGGCTCTGAGTAACCCTGATGCCTGCTGTGCCCTACAGCCTTCCTGTGCTCCAGTGACTCTACATACCAGGCATGTGTGGTGGCCTGTGAACCCCCGGACACCTGCCAGGATGGGATGCTGGGCCCACTGGACCCTGAGCAATGCCAAGTGCTGGGTGAGGGCTGTGTCTGCTCTGAGGGCACCATCTTGCACCGGCGCCACTCCGCGCTCTGCATCCCTGAGGAGAAGTGTGGTACGTACTTCCCCTCCCAGGGGCTAGGATCCCCAAAGCTGGCCTCACCCTGTTATCTCTTATGCCTTCCTGTACCCATGACCCAAGCCCATATGCTGCCTCTTTGGGTTTGCTTTGTGAGTAATCAGTGATCCAGAGAGGGTCAAGCTTGACCTAGGGTGGTTGGGTCTTCTCACCTTCCTCGGTATCCTGTCCACCTTGCCATCCTTGCAGCCTGCACTGACAGTGCAGGGGTGCCACGAGCCTTGGGGGAGACCTGGAACAGCTCGCTCAGTGGCTGCTGTCAGCACCAGTGCCAAGCTCCGGACACCATAGTTCCTGTGGTCTTGGACTGCCCGGGACCCCGCCCTGAGAGCTGCCCACGCTTTGGAGAAGTGGCCCTGCTCCAGCCCACTGAGGATCCTTGTTGCCTGGGGGCTGTTTGTGGTGAGTTCTTTGACATCCCTGAACCTCAGCTGTAAGATGAGGTTATGGGCTTCAGCTCTGCCCACTTAATGAATGGACCAGGTTTGGGACATCCAAGTGTCTTGTAGGGTGTGGATCACAGGGGAGTGGGGGTGTGGGTGGGTGGGAGTAGAGTAAGAACCTTGGCCTTGGCAGCAGGAGCTAGTCTATGCTATCAAAGAAATACGAGTTCTCTAGAGCTGCTGTAACAGAAATACCACAAGTGATGACTTGAATAAACAGAAATTTATTCTCTCACCATTTAGGAAGCTAGATGTCTGAATTTACGGTGCTAAGTCAAGGGAAAGGCTTCTTTCTCTGTCTCCTGGGTCCTTATGTCCCTTCAACATCTGTGGGCCTGGTGTTCCTTGGAGCTTTCCATGTGTCTCAGCATTAATCTTACCCTGAGTCTAGGTGGTTCTCAGCACAAGGCCCCTGGGTCTAAAGGAAGTGCACCACCCTCCCCCGGTTCTTTTGTCTTGGTGGTAGTCGGGACCCTTTCTCTTTGTTCACTTCTCTCCTTTTATCTCTAATAAAATAAAAGGAGATGCAGGACATACCCCAGGGAAACTTCCCCTTACATCCGATTGGAACTATAGCATTAGTAAGGGTTTATATCCCATCATAATCTCTCTATAACTAATTGACCAACCACATCAGATCACATCATTGCTCTTGTTAGGTGCCATAGAGTCAGTACTGACTCATAGCAACCTTATGCACAGCAGAACGAAACACTGCCCGATCCTGGGCCAACCTCACTATCGTTGTCACACTTGAGTCCATCGATGCTGCCACTTGCCCAATCCATCTCGTTGGGGGTCTTCTTCTTTTTCTCTGATCCTCCACCTTACCAAACATGATATCCTTCTCCAGTGACTGGCCCCTTCTGACAATATGTCCAAAATATGAGAGACGAAAAGTGGCCATCTTGGCCTCCAAGGAGCACTCTGGCTGCACTTCTTCCAAAACAGATCTATTGGTTCTTTTGGTAGTCCATGGCACTTTCAATATTGTCCTCCAACCCATAACTCAAAAGCATAGATTCTTCTACAGTCTTCCTTATTCACTGTCCAACTTTCGCATGCATATGAGGTTATGGAAAATCCCATGGCTTGAGTCAGGTGCACCTTAGTCTTTAAGCTGACATCTTTGCTCTTCAACACTTTAAAAAGGTCTTGTGCAGCAGATTTGCCTAATGCAATACGTCATTTTAAATAACTGCCAAATTACCTCATTACGTAACTGCCAAACCACTGAGAATCATGGCCCATCCTAATGGATACATATTTTGGGGGACACAATTCAATCCGTGACATCAGTCAATATGGGCTAGTAGTTAGAGGCATGGATGCTAGGGCAGGCACCTGGGTCAGCTCTTACTCTGCCTCCTTAGAGCCGTGTGACTTCTGGCAAATCACTGAATGGCCTCTGAGTCTAAGTTGGTTCACTTGTAACTTGAGGATAATAATAGTACCTATCTTTAGGGTTGTTGCAAACATTTATATAAGTTAACACCAATTTAGGACAGCACCTGACACATGGCTTGTCTCCATGAGTATTAGTTCCTACTGCTCTTCTGTTCTGTCCTGGATCCTTTGAGTAAAACTTCAGAAGCCCCTTCCTGGAGGATGGGTCCTGGGGGCTGGAGGAGTAATGGAGCTAGGTGTCTAGCAGTGCTGAAGGCCAGGAGCCATCCTGGCCTCCAGGTGACAGGTCTGTGGCCCATGGGCCAGTGTGTAACCAGACTCTGTGTGAGGGTCTTGCCCCCACCTGCCGCCCAGGACACCGACTCCTCACCCACTTCCAGGAGGACTCCTGCTGTCCCAGTTACAGCTGTGGTGAGAAACCTAGGCTGGGTGGGGAATGTGGGATACTATCTGGGGTGGGGAGTTCTGCATCCCCTTCATCCCAGGGTGGAGGATGGGCTGCCACGCTGGGGAGCCTGGAGCAGGGCCTAGAGCCCAATGAGAAGGCCTAGGGTGGGAGCAGGAGGATGGCTCCAGAGACTGGGTTCTGGGTGGAGATTAGGGCAGAGCCAGGGCAAAGGTCAACATGTGGCCAGGTTGGCTCTGCTCCCAACCCCTAAAGTCTTTCTTTTCCCTCAGAATGTGACCCAGACCTGTGTGAGGTGAAGCTGATCCCCAGTTGCCGCCAGGACCAGATCCTGATTGCAGGCCGCCTGGGAGACTCGTGTTGCACCTCCTACTTCTGTGGTGGGTGGACACAGCCGTCAGTCCGTCCCCTGTCATGCCTGCATCAGGCCAGCTCAACCACCCCCTCCTCACCCCTGCATCTGTGAGCTGCTGGGAGGGAAGGGTGGAGGCCTTCAGGTGGGATGGGCACCTGAACAAGGATAAGATGACTGTCCAGAAAGAAGTCTAGGAAGAAGGAGAAGCTGAGCTCTCTTGATCCCTCGAGGTTAGTAAGCATGAGAAGATTGGTGCTTAGTCTGTGTGGGACTTTGGGTGGATGCGATTCCAGATTCTGATGCCAACACAGGCCCCATAAGACCATGAAATACAGCCCCGTGTTTAGCGCCTGTCACAGGTGAGTCATTGAGGAGCCCCTGGCCCCAGCAGCCAACTGCATATCAAGCCCTCCATGAGGGGGATGGCTTGTTACAGCAGTGGCCCCTCTTCACCCTCAGCCTGCAGCCATTGTCCAGGTCCCATCCCCGAGTGTCAGGAAGGTGAGGCACTCACGGTGGACAGGAATACCACGGAGTTGTGCTGCCCGCTATACCAGTGTGGTGAGTGAGTGGTGGGCTTCCACAGGAAGGGGCTCTATTATATTCTCCATCTTTATTATACTTTTAGTATTGCAGAAGAGCTGTACACATGTCTTAATCATCTAATGGTACTATGATATAAACACCACGAGTGGGTGCCTTTACCTAACAGGAATTTATTCTCTCACAGTGAGGTTTAGGAGGTTAAAAGTCCAAATTCAGGGCTCCAGCTCCAGGAGAAGGTGTTTTCTTTGTCCTTTCAACATCTGTGGGCCCAGCATTCCTTGGAGGTTTTTAGGTGTCTTGGCATTAGTCTTCCTTTGGGTCTAGAAGATTCTCAGCACAAACACTCTGGGTCTGAAGGCTGAACTCTTTTTCTGGCTCTTCTTTCTTGGTGGTACTGAGGTCCCTCCCTCTCTGCTCATTTCTCTTTCCTTTTTTCTCTTGTAAGATAAAAGGTGATGCAGGTCACATCCCAAGGAAACTCCCCTTCCATTGGATCAGAACAGTGACCTGAGTAAGGGGGTAGCACCCCACCCCAATTCCCCCACAATTGATTGGCTGATCACATTAGATCTCATCATGAGGGGTGGAGTGACTGCATCCTTCATTACATAACTGCCAAGCCACGGCCCAGCCAAGTTGACATATATTTGGGACACACACATACTTCAGTTCATAATAATGCACATTGTAAAAAGGACAGTATCCAAGTAAATGTGACAAAATGAAAACACCATCTTCCTTACCTCCTAGCTATTCCATTGTTAACACTTTGGTTCATATCCTTCCGGAGAGTCTCTGTGCCTCATAGATATATGTGTGTATGTATGTGCCTTTGACCAAAATGAGATCAGATTGCATAACTCTCTTTTCACCTGCTGATTTCAGTTAATGATCTTCACCTTTGCATGTTAAATACATTCATTTTCAACTCATCTAATACCCAATTCATGTCTGTCCTGATTTGTCCATCCCAGGATCCAATTTAGAACCACACATCATTTTGTCTCTTTAATTTCTTTTCATCTATCACAGATCTCTCTCTCTTTCTCTCTCTCTCTTTTCATAATTCCAATTTGTAGAGTCTGGGCTGTGGTCCTACAGAGAGCCCTATCTCTGGATTTTCCCAGTTGCTTCTAGGAGCTGGTGTCATGATTTCTTTATCCTTTACGTTTTCTATAAAGGGGAAGTTAGGCTTTAAGTTAAAACATCTGGCTTGACAGTATGTGTACTTCATAGAACATCATCTCATCAGGAGATGCATACTATCTGGTTGAGTCCCAGATAGTATATGGTCTCTGGGGGAGGTGACAGGCGGGAAAGGGTAGGGCGTAGCAGGGTCTGTGTACCCGATGGCACTGGGGCCACCGATGTTACCGTTGGCCCTGCATGATGGTGATGACAGGATGATCCTTCCATCTTATGTTTACATTTCTCCTCTCTTGACCAGGGGTAACCTGTCACTTTGACACATATAAATGTCCCACTCCTGTACACCCACCACCCTTTTTTTTTTTTTTTTTTTGGAAACACCAGTCAATAATCCTTACCTGTGCCAATATTTTTTTTAGTAAATCAAATAAATTTTTCTGTTTTCAAGACCTTCGGGACCAACCCTCACACCTCCCCTTCCTGCCAAAAAGTTCACCCAGAGAGTTCCCATACCTCTTGTGTCTGTCTCTCTAAAACTGAGAATGGCTAAGGAATTCTAAATGAGAAGTTAGCCTGAAGATTAGAACGTGTGTGTGAGCTGTAAAGTGAAGCATCGGCTGAAGTGGGGTGGCTCTGGTTCGACTACAAACGATGTTTCCTCAGGGTGTGAGGAATCACGTTGCCCTATGTTGGGAGGTATTCCCTGTCACCAGAGTTTACCCAGGTCACTGGCACGTCTCTGACCACAGTCTCAGGATGACACAGAATCCAAGGGAGGGAGACTCAAAATACAAGGTTAAAATTCTGGCATTGTTGTGTTGTTGATGCCTCGCAGGTAAAGAATCCCAGTCTCCTGAAGTAGTTCTGTGGGGAGACTGGGATTAACACACCCAGCTGCCAACCGAAAGATTAGACGTTCGAATACACCCAGAGCTACCTCAGAAGATCTTCCCAGAACTTAGCCTTTGAAAACCTGTGGAGCACAGTCCTACTCTGCCACAGAGGAGGTGACCATGAGTCAACTTGACAGCACCTGTGGTGGTCTTTTAAGGAGGAGCTGGGAAGTCTCCCTTCTTAGTCCTTGCTATGTCTCTGAGCATTCACCCTCCAAGGGGTCTCCGGCTAATATGCCCCTCCCTCCCTCCCAGTGTGTGAGAGCTTCCGCTGCCCCCAAGTGCAGTGTGGCCTGGGCACGACCCTGGTGGAGGTGTGGAGCCCAGACCGGTGCTGCCCATACAAGTCTTGTGGTAAGTCTCTAAATATGGGCACTGCCCGCAAGGCAGGTTGGAGACCCAGGCTGGGCCCCCTGCTGCAGTGGGGGGGGGGGGGGATGCGGCGGGGGTGAAGCAGGCTTCCCCATTGTCAAATTTCCTCCAATCCAACCTCTTCCAGAGTCACCAGAGCCAAGGCACCAACTGCCTTCCTCCCACCTACATTCCTGCTCTGAGTGCTAGGCATTCTTGCATCTTTTTCTTCCAAGGATAAAAGGACAAGAGAAAATTCCTTGTTACAAAATAAGTCTTCCTTCTTTAAAAAGTCTTTCTTACAATTGTTTGATAGCAAACAATTTTTGTTAAAATTCACTTCAAACCCATCAATGATAAATACTAAAAAACAGTTCAATATAAAAAATGTTTCTTTAAAAGAGTGGGAAATGATTTTGCATATGGATATTTTGTTTATCTTTCCCCTTACCCCCAACCTCACCCTTACTAGAATATAAACTTCAGGAGGGCAGGGGTTGTAGCTAGAGGTGGTGTATTGCTTAGCCAGTGAGCGCTGCCTGAGCAATCAGCTGGAACCTAAGTGAGGACCGAACCTGCTCATGGTTAAAGACTTACACTAGTAATGCTGAGCTCGCTGGAACATATATTTGGGGAATGAAGTTGGTTAGAAATTTTACCCTTGACATGTTTATTCCTGGAAAAGCCCCACATCTGTTCTAGAAGGGCCACTGAAGAGGAGAGGGATAAGTCCTAGGTGGCAAAAGGAAATCTGTGACCGGTCTGTCGATCTGTTTGTCCTCACCCCACATCTGGGTGGGGAGCTTGGTGTTTAAGACACATCACTGCTCTAGCCACCCAGTCAGCTAAGGGAGCCTGAGATTTTGACTTCGTCCCCCTCCCTAATTCCAGGGTGGGGCTGGGGCTGTGCTAAAGAAGGGGCTGCACCTGCAGTGAGGGGTCTGGGGGCCAGAGGACATCCAGCAGGACATGTGTGGTGAGCTGGGGTCTGGCCCCTCCTGTTTTTCAGAGTGTGACTGCGATAGAATCCCAGTGCCCCATTGCCATCTGGTATGGAGAGCCCGCTCCTCCCACCTTTCCTTTCCTGCCTGCCCCTTCCCTCAGAGACCCTATAGCCTTAAGCTGTGCAGAATCCTAGATACAGGTTAGCATCCTGGTTCCACATTTTAGCACTCTCTTTACTGACTTTTGAGCACAGTGTCCTCTTCTATAAAATGGGTACGATCATACTTCACAGTTGTGGTGAGGCTGAAATACGATGGAGATGATCATGTGAGGATGGTGAAGACAGTGATGGTAGCCAATGTTTACTGAGAGCTAGTTATATTCCAGGAATGTTTCTTAGCCTTTCATGTGTCCTGTCACATGAATTCTCATGAGGTTGATTTATGATTACCTCAGTTTACAGATAAGGGTGCTCAGGTAAGATCATGAAGCTAGCAAATCACAGAGCCAATATTTGAAACCAGAGACCATGCCCTTAATCATCAAGCTACATAACCACTGTTATTGTTAGCTGCTGTTGAGTTGATTCTTCTCATAGCGGCCCTATAAGATTGAGTAGAACTGCCTGATAGGATTTCTTAGGATATAATCTCTGGTAGTTTAGAGGTTACGAATCGAGCTGCTAACCTCAGGGTCAGCAGTTCAAAACTACCAGCGGTTCCACGGGAGAAAGATGAGGCTTTCTGTTCCCATAAAGATTTACAGCCTCGTAAACCCTGTGCAAGGTCGCTATGAGTCGGAATCGACTCCACGGCACATAACAACAACAACAAAAAGAAGTCTTTATAGAAGCAGATCATCACGGTTTTTTTCTCCCTCAAGTGACTGCTGGGTTTGGACATCGGTCCTTTTGGTTAGCAGTTGAGCACTCGAGTGAAAATACTTTAAGAAATACAAAGTTATGCTTACTTACATCATTATCTGGCTTATGTTTCTACATACCCCTCACTACAAACAACACACATTTCCTTTTGTTTTGTCCCCTTCCCCGGCTTTTCCCTGTAACTGTGAAGAAGGAGCCCCTAGAGGGGGAGCTCCAGACCCACAGTCATGCAATGCTCCTCCCCTAGTGGGGCCAGTGGGTGGTCAGGATAAGAGAAGAGGCCTGAGGCCCTGGGAGAGGATGTATGGGGTGCAGTGTTCCCAGTGGGGAGGCTTGAGAGCCACATTAGGTGTTTTCCCCTTCCTTAGTGGAAGGGTGTCTGAGCTTGCTGGGTGTCAAGGGCCACCAGTCCTATCAGCCGTGTCTCTGTCCACTGGGAGGAGGTGGCTGACATAGATAGGGACCCAGGCGGCTGACTGCTGCTCAGGGTGGGGCCGGGTGACCCCACTGGGCTGCTGACCACTCCACCCCACCCAGTGGGAGAAGTCACAGCTGGACGAGGAGTTCATGCACAGCGTGGAGAACGTGTGTGGCTGTGCCAAGTACGAGTGTGGTGAGTGGGGTTGGCGAGTCAAGGGTGGGGCCAGTAGGCTGGGGTGGGGGTTGTGGGAGGCCTCTCAGTGACTGTCACCGCCCTGCACACCTGTCCAGTGAAGGCCCCTGTGTGTCTGAGCCGTGAGCTGGGGGTGATGCAGCCGGGCCAAACAGTGGTGGAGCTCTCTGCAGATGGTGTGTGCCACACCTCACGCTGCACTGATGTGCTTGACCCCCTCACCAGCTTCTACCAGATCAACACCACCTCCGTCTTATGTGACGTCCACTGTGAGGCGGTAGGGTGGAGTGCGAAGTGTGGGGTTGGGATGGGGTTCTCCCTGAAAGCTCTAGGAGCTCCAGGGATCAGAGAGAGCTCAGTCATGGACAAGTCTAGGGAGCGGGCATCAGCAGGAGGCTTAGAGATCTTAGTATAAAGTTCTGGAAAAGGTGTCTAGCTGGGAGAGGGCAGGAGAGAAACAGTGAGAGTGAAGGCACAGGAGACACAGGTTAAAGACCTGGAGAGAGTGGGTAATTGGCAGAGAGCATTCACTCGTTAGGCACCTTGTTCATTCCTTATCCTTTCAGTTTGTGTTTTTAAGCTACTACCAATTGTTGAGAAGTTCAACATAGCCAATATTTAGGACAGTGGCTCATAGGAAGGGCTCAATCCATATTAATTGAACGATAGAATAAATGAGATTAGAATTATTCCTATTTTGCAGATGAGAAAGCTTAGGCTTAAAGAGGTTCAGCCTCTTGACAAAAGTACCACAGACACAGGCACTCAAATTGAGGTCTTCTGGAACCAAAGTCAGCATCCTCAATCCCTAGACATGCTGCCTGTTAGAGGCTGCAAATACTTTTTGTCCCCTGGGCTGGAGGCAGCAATGGCTGAGGGTGGATGGAGTAAGGGAGACTGAGGGTGGGTATAACATAAGGATGTCCCACCTGCCTGAGATAGAAAGAGACTGGTCCCCTTACCAAGCAGTTACAGGGGTCCTCTCTGAGCTCTGAGATGAAGCAAGAGTGGAGGGGCCCGGTGGGCATGTAGCTGAGGACCATTCTATCCCATCCTGTCCTCCAGAACCAGGAGTATGAGCATCCGCGGGACCTGGCAGCGTGCTGCGGTTCCTGCACCAACGTGTCCTGCCTCTTCACCTTCCCCAATGGCACCACTTCCCTGTTCTTGGTAAGCAGCGCCCACCTGCCCAACAGGGAAGGTGTCCCAGAAGGGGAAATTGAGGCTCCAAGGAGTTAGGCACACCTACAGCCAGGGCCCTCTCTGGTCCCAGACCCGGACTGGGAACAGATGGGCTCCAGGCAGTGCCAAGTCCTGGGCTGCACCTGTCCTCGCAGCTGTGCCCTCTGGGTTCTCTCAGCCATCCCTGGGGACTGTCACCCACCTCTGTCCTCCAGCCGGGGGCATCCTGGATTGCAGACTGCACCCGTCACCACTGCAGCAGCACTCCCCTGGGCGCCGTGCTCGTCCGCTCGCCCATCAGCTGCCCACCACTCAATGAGACCGAGTGCATCAAGGTCAGGGTTCGCCTCCTGCTCCCACCACATGGCTTTAGCCAGGGGCCTTGCTGTCCTACTGGGGAAGGGTGTTCCTGCCTGCAAGGAGGTGGAAAAGGGGTTCCCTGGAGCCCGTGCCCCACTGCCACTCCCACCCCACACATCACACATTGCACAACCATATGCAGATGCACACACACACACATGCTGTCATACAAACGCTAGCACATACACACACCACAGTCCCCATTGGGATGTCTACACACTCAGTGTGTGGGCACACACACTCCCCATAATCACACAGGCACACCATCATACACGCATGCACAAGCAGATGTTGGGTGCAGGGCACCGACCACCAGTGTGGGCACACTTCCAGGACGGGAATTTTCTGGAGGGCTTGGGGTTATCATTGAATCATTAAAGTTCCCTAGACTACTATTAGACATTTGATAACTTCTGACTCTTACCTAGAAAACAAATACACGCCTAATAATAGTACTGATACATACAATCACATGTGTGTACACAAGTCACACACATACATGCACAATCTCACATACATGTTGGAAACCACATGCTGAGACACGTATACATATTCACATGTTCACACACATACTCCAAAAAATCACACACACACACACACATATTTACTCAGATCCACACACACTTGTTTACAAGCAATATCACATCCATCGGTTTATCTGTTTCATTGTAGAGGAAGAAGACTTTAAAGGAGAATTGTCTCAGTTTTAGAGATGGGGGAGCTAAGCCCAGAGAAAAGGGGTGACTTATACAGAACCCAGGCTTCTGATGCAAAGCCCCCTCCTTAGTTCAGGGAAGCACTAATGGCAGTGGGGTACGCAGTGAGGGACCTGAGGAGAGAACAAAGATCCTGCGCCACCTCTCCCCACCTGCCATCTCACTGGGGGCCGAGAGCAGATACAGTGCCACAGACACTGAGGTGATTTCCCATGGAGCTGACGGACAGCAGAGCATGGATTTCCTGCCCTGGAGCAAGGGAGTCTGTGTTCTTAGACTCTTTTTGCCTTTTTTCTGGGATCTTGGCCTAAGAGGCTCCCCACCCACCTCTTCTTCCTTTTCTAGGTTGGGGGCTCTGTGGTGCCATCCTTGGAAGGGTGCTGTCGGACATGTGAGTGAGCGTGGTGGAAGTCAGCTCTGAGGGGCTCTAGTGTGTGGGGGGTGTTATGCCAGGACTCAGAGGGCCAGCTTCCTGGTGTGGGCCCTGTGCTGGTGGCTCTCCAGGACTAAGGAGAAGACGGATAACCCTGCCACAAACCTGAGACGCTGGCACAAATATGTAGGCAGGTCAAGGTCACACTCATGCCCCTGTCCCAGTGCAAGACCCTGCTTCTTGGTAAAGACAGGGGACATTGGGCTTAGGTCAGTAGCTCACCAGCCACTCTGCCCAGACCCCTTGAATTCCCTCTTGTGGTCAGGAGTCCTGGTCTTGGAGGAGCCTCCTAGGTGGGATTACCCAGTGGAGTCTGGGTGAGAGCCCTGTGTCTGTCCTTACACCCTGACTCCTGCGACTCCACACACAAAGCCTGCAGCCCAGCCACACACACAGGCACATCCCAGGTGGCTATAGGACCTCTTCCCACACACCGACAGCTCTCAGACCCCTTCCTAGGAAAGTGGCATCCTTTTATGTCCCTGTCACATCCTGAAAGAAAGCTGGGCTCAGTGCCTCAGTAGCTGTTTTCTGACCCACAACTGTTCCTTGAACTATCCATGTGCACCCATATGACTTGTGACCCATATCCCCTTCTCCCCAGGTTCCCCGGGGACTCTGTTTCCCGTGGTCCCTGTTAGCCCAGCCTCTCCTCCACGGGTTAGTGTCCACTGCCGCCCAGGTACTCCTCAGAAGCCCATGGGTCTGGAGGCGGGCAGCTGCATTGCTATTTCCAATCATATCCCTTCTGCTAGGTGGCCCTGAGCTCTGGGGGAGGAGAAGATGGCACCCCTGTTCCCTACTTTAGGCAAAAGCCAGTGCATGCTGGGTAACAAGCCGCCACCCCTGGGCTTGCTTGTGTGTGCTTCAGTGGTGCCTGCCCACCTGGCACCCACCTGCTGGCTCCAATGCTGCCACCTCTTTGGCCATTCAGCCTGTCATGGTTCTGGGCCCAGTGGGAGTCTCCAAGGAGTAGAAAGGAGGACAAAGTGGACAGAGCTCTTTTGACTAGGCTGGCAGGAAACCTTTGTGGGAAGCCCTGGACTTCTGGCCTTTCCTCTGCGACCAGGATTCCACACCATTCCCAGCAGGTACCCAGGGGCTGTACAGTTCATTCACCTGGCAAATATTTACTGAGTATCAACTATGTGTCAGGCACTGCTATAGGCACAATGTTGCTATCATTAAGTGCCATCGAGTCATTTCTGACTCATAACAACCCTGTATAGGAAGAACTTTCAAGGAGCAACTGGTGAGTTTAAACTGCTGACCTTGCAGTTCAGTGCATCTCCTACAGTGTCACACCAGCAATAAACCAGGCATACAGATATCCCAGTCCTCATGAAGCTTATGTTTGAACAGAAGAGGCAGCCAAACGAGTAAAATATGCACCATGATAAATGGATCAAGTTTGGGGGGATCTGAAGCTAATGCAGTCTGGAGGAATCCTAATTTTAAGAAAGAACATATACTTATAGGTGTGAACATGAATATTTATTAGACTGAGAAAAAAATCATAACAGATTGTGGAAGGAACTTGTGCAAAAGAGGGACTCTCAAATTTAAGCTTCAATTTGAGAATTGTAAGTGTTTCTCTGATAGGATGGTGATAGTACTCTGGATAAAGTCAAGCAGGGGACCAGGAGGGGGCAGGGAGGGAGCACTAGGTGGAGGGATCAGGAGAGGCCTCACTGAACAAAGAACTGGAGGAGGTGAGGGTATGAGTGAGCCACGTGATGGGTTGTCTGAGGACAGGAGTCATCCAAACAGAGGAAACAACAGGCACATCCCTATCACAGCTCTGTGTCCCCGAGTGGTGCAAATGGTTAACACACTCAGCTTCTAACTGAAAGATTAGAGTTTTAAATTCACCCAGAGGCACATGGAAGAAAGGTCTGGCTATCTAACTTCTCCCAAAAAGCAGCCATTGACAACCCTACGGAGCACAGTTTCACTCTGACACACATAGGGTTGTGATGAGTTGACTTTGGGGCACATGGCTAACAGCTCTGTGAGACAGAAGAAACCTTCGGCCCAGTTGATAGATATGGAAACGGAGTGAGCCTGCTATGTAAAAGCGTTATGCTGGGCACTGGGGTTTTCATTTCCACAGGAAATTGCAGAATCTTCATGCTAGAAGCTTTCTCAGAGTAGGAGAGCTCAAGCTCAGAGGGGTGAGAACACACCCACGGCCAACAACAGGGCTTAGTGACAAGTGTTGGAGCTAGGTAGCAGCCTGCCCCTGTCCCAAATCCTCTTCCCAAGTACAGAGCCCCTAAGGTTGGCCCTGTCATCCCAGGCATCTTCTTTCACCTGCTCACAATGCTCTGTCTTTGCCTTCCCTGGCTCCACCTCTTCCCCAGCAAGTAGGTTTCAAAGCTTTCCCCTGATGGTTTGGGGCACTCATTCATGCATGGGCACTAACGCTGGAAAAGGGACACTAACTGCCTCAGTCTGGTCCATCCTACTGCCCCCAGAGAGCTCGTCTTGACCACGACTGCCTGCCCCATCCTGCCCCCCAGGTAAGGAGGATGGGCGCTCCTGTAAGAAGGTGACCATCCGCATGACCATCCGCAAGAACGACTGCAGAAGCAACACCCCTGTGAGTGGCCCCCACATCATGGTGGGGTCTGGGGTGGGCAAAGATGGCCAAAGCTGGGGTGCAGGGGGATTTAGGGAGTGTGAACTCTACAGGCTGCTCACTAGCCTGCCCTCCCCTAGGTGAACCTGGTGTCCTGTGACGGGAGGTGCCCATCCGCCAGCATCTATAACTATAACATCAACACCTACGCCCGTTTCTGCAAGTGCTGCCGTGAGGTGGGCCTGCAGCGGCGTTCCGTGCAGCTCTTCTGTGCCACCAATGCCACCTGGGTGCCTTACACAGTACAGGAGCCCACCGACTGTGCCTGCCAGTGGTCCTAGGGCCTGGGGGCAGGGCTGGCTGGACCCCTTCTCTCACCTCCTCTCTGGTCCAGCTGGCCCAGTGTATGTGTGTGTGTGCATTCATGGGAGGCATTGAGGGAAGTGGAGAGCTGGTACGTGCTGAGCATGGAAAGGTGGACAGAGGCACACAGAGCGACCACAAGGGGCCACATCTGCCCATCCTGGTTCCTTCTCTGGGTTGCCTCTCCTTCATCCATAGGAAAGTGCCACATCTGAGGGTTCAGGGAACTCAGCTCTATCCCTGGCTAGAGGTCAGGAATGGGCCCTCACTTAAGGGGCCTTGATTATCTGACTCTGGCTGCTGTGGTTTGGTGGAGGGGATGTGAGTCTTCCTGAGAAGATGGGGCCAAAACTGGACTCAAGACCAGGCATGGGTCAGGATACTGTGGCCCATCCTCATTCTTGGCCTTTTTGACAAAAGGAGAACTATAGACACAGTAAAAGGAAAGGGAGCTTTGACTGCAGCACTCAGGCCTGTGGGCAGATGTCCAGAAGGACTTCCCAAAGGTTAGAGTTTAGGTTTCCTGGATCCAGGTCATCTTGTTCAAATCTGCGAGGTCAGGCTTGAGTATACATGCTTCTGGACATAGACCTAGTGGACTCAGTGACCTTAAAGTCTCCTGTAGCCCCAGAGATTTTGTTATTTCAATTTAGAAAAGATTCAGAGGAGCAAACCGTGTCTGTTACTCCGTACAATACCCATTGCCTCCAGAAAGCCTGCCTTCCTAGCAGGTGGGCTAGTTCTAGTGAAGAGGACAGTAAATTCTCCAGTGAGGGTACAGTATATCTCTTCTTGAATCTTGGTAGAAAACCCACCCCTCCAAGCACCCTGGGTTGTTTAATGCCGTCAAAGGCAGCTCCTGATGAAGGAACCAATATGCCTTTCCTCCAAGAACATAGCAGAGTCAGTCCCTGGAGGGACCAATTCCAGACTCTCTGCTCTGTGAGACTGTTTAACAGGAAAACATCTGTCGGTGGCAAATGCAGGTCCTATGAATGTGCCGCCCAGAGGTGCTGAGCCTTATCTCTGAAGCAGGCCAGGGCCTCCTCTGCAGCCCTCACCCACATCATTTTGTGCCACTGGGTCCAAAGGACATGTTTATGATGTTTATGAGCTGTTCAAGCCTTGGCATTGCCCTGTGTGTCTGGAGATGTGTGGCTGTCCTAGTGCATCTTGGGGATAGGAAGCTATGCCAGGAAGGTCCCTCAGCTGTTCCTCCAAGCTCTTTACTCCTGTAAGGGTGTTTTGTGTATGCATCCAATAAACCACTACAAGACACCAGGCCTCTTAGCATCTTTGAGGATATCAGTTTTGCTTTGAACTTAAAGTGTGTCAGCTGTGAAGAGGAGACATATTATATGGCCAGGAAGGTCACTTGATTTCTGTACAACCTGTGCCTGGCACAAGCCCCATGCAGTTCAGTGAATGCCTGTTGATAGAAACGGAACTGATTAGGAACTGCGTAGCCTTGAACAAGAGGGTCCAGGTTGGATGTGTCCATGGTGGGGCAGGCCCTGACCATGCGTTTCTTTTTGACCTCTCACTGTTTCTGTGTTCATTTCCTTGCTCTCTCACCAAGCATAGTAAGGTTTTGCTGCCACTGTCAGCTGTATTGGGCTTAGAGGGACCCAGGGATGGGGTGCTGAAGGACCCTTGTCTTTAAAGCACCGTTGGCACTCCTAAGGGTGATGCAGAAGGTGCTTTCCTGGCTCACCTGGTGTGGGGAGGAAGAGGAGATGGGGATGTCCTAGAGCCTGCGCTGGTTAGTGCTTCTTAAGTTGCAAGCGTACCGTCCACCTGGAGGAAACGCTTGTGAAGTGAAAACTTGGAAGGCTTCGGTTTTTCTTCACAGGTCAGTCTCTTCCTTCCTTGCTAACGTGATTTCTGGAACTGCCTTTTTCTATGAGGAGGGAGTTTTACAGAGTCTTATGCAGCACACGTCTAAACAAACAATGGGTCAAAGAAGAAATCAGAGTGGAATTAAATAGCATTTTAACCTATTACACTTGTGAGATGCAGTTAAAGCAGTACTTTAACAAAACTTCACTGCCGTTGAGTCAATTCTGACTCATAGGAACCCCTATAGGACAGTAGAACTGGTCCCTAGAGTTTCTAAGATTATAATTACAACAATAGACAGCCTCATCTTTCTCCCAAGGAGCAGCTGGTGGGTCGGAACTGCTGACCTTGTGTTTAGCAGCCCAACACTAAACCCACTATGCCACCAGGGCTCCAAGTAGTACTTAGAGGAGAATTTGTACCCTTAAATGCATATTTCATGCTCTTCATTTCTTATCTTTGCAGTCAGAGGTGGGGTGGGACAAGGCTTCCAAACTTCTTTATCTGTGATGATCAGTGACTTGTAATCAATCATATCGTTAGCCAAAACATACTCCCTAAATCACACAGTGATTGCTTCTATGGAAAATTTAGAATCCTGATCTCATGAGAACATGACTTTAAATATACCTTTAAAGATTGCTGACTTAAAATCCTGATTCTATTACACAGCAAAATTTTAGACTGAATCATAAGGTGGCCGCTTAAGTCACTGCTGCAACCCCAGTGTTCCTGGCTGGTCATCCTCCCGTACACCTGAGCTCCTGTCTACTGATGCCCAGGTATGAGAAGACAGCTTTTGAACAGATTACTTTGAAGCAGCTGTTGTGTAGACATAGGCAGATGCAGTCAGGTCAAAGCAACCAGCACTGGCCACACTATCCTCCTGCCATTCAGAAGGGTCTTCCCAGGGTTGCCTATTCAGCCTATGTATGAACAGACACACATCCATACATACTTGTTGAGTCAGTTCAGTTCATAGCAACCACATAGGATTTTCTTGACTATAATCTTATGGAAGGAGTCCTGGTGACCGTGGGAGAAAGATCTGGTGACATGCTTCCATAAAGATTACAGTCAAGACAAGTGTATGGGGCCCTTCTGCTCTGTCACATGGGATTACTATGAGTTGCAATGGACTCAATGGCACCCCAAAACAAGTCTTAATGAAAGGAAACTGCCAGGCCTTTCTTTCATTGGGTGGGTTCGAGCCACCAATCTTTAGATTAATAGTTGAGTACAAGGAGCTCTGGCAGCGTAGTGGTTACGAATCGGGCTGCGAGCCACAAGGTCAGCAGTTCAAAACTACCAGCTGTCCCATGGGAGAAAGATGAGGCTTCCTGCTCCCGTAAAGATTTACAGCCTCAGAAACCCTGTACAGGGTCTCTATGAGTCGGAACTGACTCCACAGCACATAACAACAACAACAGCAAAACTCATGGAACCAGTTTTGGTAACCTGTTACTCTTTGGCTCTAGTGAGCTACAGTTTCCTTCTGCATGTTCCACCCTCACCATGTAATCACAGGTGCCTGTAATGCTTCATGATGACACCCCATTGCTGGAATCTCAGTGTTCTCAGAGGCTCATCCTCCACCTCACCTCCAATCTCACCCAGGCACCCTCTCCTCCTTGCTCATCTTGAAAGCCATCGTCTCAGACCAATCCTTTGACCAACACCCCCAGACTGATTTCCCCAGTTCTCTCACTTCTCTGGGAAAACTGTGTCTTTTAGGCTAAAACACCAGAGTGAGAGATTAACGAGGAAGAGGCAAATTACCAACAAGTATGAGACCTTGCTTTGCATAGCAGGGAAGACAGGACAGGATGAGGGTTTTAAACCTTAACCAGTGTTACCCAGTTATTCTCCAAAAAACCAATACCAATAGCATTGAGATGAATGATCATTGATTTAGATTTCAAATACATGGACCCTTTGACTAAGCTATCCTATGTCTAAGCATCTGTGGTGGACTGAATAATGACCGTCCAAAAATGTCCATGTCCTAATCCCTGTGAATGTATTACATGGTAAAAGGGACTTTGCAGATGTGATTAAGTTAAGAATCTGAGATGGGGAGATTATCCTGGATTACCTGGTGGGTCCAATGTAACACAGGGAGGCAAGAGGATCAGAGTTAGAGAGATGAGCTGTGATGATGGAAGCAGAGGTTTAAGACGGAGAAAGAGACCAGGAGCCAAGTAGTGCAGGCAGCGTCTAGCAGCTGGGAAGGTTAAGGAAACATACTCTCTCTTAGAGCTCCCAGAAAGACAGCTGCCCTGCTGACACCTTGACGTTAGCCCGGTCAGACTCCTGTCAGACTTCTGACTTCCAAAACCGAAAGAGCAAACAATTGTACTAAGTGACTAAGTTTGTGGTAATGCGTTACAGCAGCAAAAGGAAACCAACAGAGCATCTAAATAATTCATGGCAGGAGGCATATTTATTGCAGCATTGTCTACATTACAGGGGAGGGCAGAAATTGATAACAACCTTAAATGCCTATCATTAGGGAAAAGCTGAATAACCTGGCACAGACACACTATTGACTATTATTGACTATTAGGTAGGTACTGACATGGTGGACCCTTTAGGATGTGTTAAATGAGGAAAGGAAGTTGTGGGTCAGTTCTCACAGAATGACCCACCTCCCTTTTGTGCCCATGTGGAACACACACACACGCATGCACACCCTTCCACACACATAGGTCTCATTTCCTAGAAGGCTTTTAGGACTGAAGAGGCCCTTTCTGCTGTTTAGTCAGCTCACTAGGTGGTGCGTCTGGCCCTGGAACAGCCTGTTTGGTCCTGAAGTGAACCTCTCAGCATAGACTCAGGGCCCAGGAAGCACCTGGAGCATCTTCCCCATCCTCTGGCACTTGCCCACTCTCTGAGCATGGCTTACAGCTTGAGGAAACATGTCGGTCACACACTCTACAGGTAATGAAACCAGCCTGGCCACGCAGATAGTTGGTGGCCGAACAGGGCGGTGGCCCAGCCTGCAGTGCCCCGTGACGTATTTGCAAACACGAGGGGTTTTGAGCCCCAGAACCATCCCATTCTCCGCGGTGTAGGCTCAAATTCCCGCCCTGATTTTCTAGGCTTAATCCTCTTCCTGTGGAAATCAATAAGAACATTG